TAGTATTCTTTACTAAATTTACTAAAAAATAATTAAAAAGTAGGTGTTAATTTTTTATAGTAGAGAAACATGTCTTAAAATATGTTAAAATTTAAACTGGAATTATAATAACAATAGAACCAAAAGAGAAAATTTTAATATAAGATAATAATAAAAAGTAATAATCACACCCAAAAAAAAAAGGAATAGCGAAAATGCAAAGTTGCAAACAATTATAATGAAGAATAAAATTGTAGGAAGACAATTTTTTTAAAAAAGGGACGTGGACAGTGGCTACAAATAAAAAAAGTCAAAAAAGAATAAAAATAAAAGCTGCTGAATAAGGGAATCGAACTCGTCACCTTGCATTTTGTATGGGGCACACATTGCCAACTGAACTAAGAAATTTTGACATACCATTAGCAATTAGACAAATATTAATAAGATCATGGGGCACGTGCCCCACCCTTTGATACTGTAGATCCGCCCCTGTCAGAAACTAAATGTAATTTTAACTTTATGGAGTATTTGGATTTAAAAATTTGCAAATGGATAATGGTAATATATGAGTACTCTTTATTTTATGAAGTTCACGTGAATATAGTTCACTAAACCGGTGATCCGACGATATTTTTGTACGAACGTAAGATTTGCTTAAAAAACAAAAAAAAAACGTAACATTTGCATGATAATGTTGCAAAAAAAAAAAAATTTATAAGAAATTTACATTTGATAAGTTTTGTTTTACATTAATTAATATCATCAATCACGGTAATAATCCTTTGTAGATGTATACACATACATTGGTAAGTGATAGTCATTATATATATATGTTTCATTAATTTGTGTGTGTCAGTCAGTGTGTGTTTGGTTAAGAAAAAAAGGGATAAATGTAATGGTCCAATTTCTGATATAAAGTACAAAAAGAGAAGTAAGAAATTGTAAATGGTTAAAAGTTTAAAACTGATAAAAGGTATTAATGTGTTTCTAGCTTAGTTGGTAAAATTTTATTTACCCATAATAAGTGTCTATAAGTGCAAACAACTTTTAATAAATCTGCAGTAGTACATTGGTTAAATTTCCCTTTAAAAAATCAAAAGTTCATCAAAGAACCGGTGTCTAGTAGTAAAAGGAGATTGTTTTTTTTTGTATCTCAGGGTTCAAACTTACTTTGGTACAGAAAAGTATTTTTTAAAAATTGGAACATCTAAAAACTGACTCTGGATATTGCTAAAATTATGGGTTAATGATTTGGAACTCTCACGGTTTAACAAAAAAAATCACAAATTAATGACAATATAGTTATTTTGGTAAGAGATAATGAAATTACTAGAAAAATGATAATATACGACTTTAATTTTCGTTGGATCGTTTTGATTGATTTTTTTTTGTCTCCTTGTTTGATTAAATAACTATTACTGCTATAATAAGTAATTATCAATTTGCCAATCAAATTCATACATATTTTCCAAAGAAAGTTAAAGCAGTTATTTATAATTAGTTTTGAAAAAAAACCAAAATCTTTTCTTTTAGAAGGATCAAAATGACACTGACGGCTGATGGTTGACATCTGGCAGGTAGATTTTGTTTTTGTTTTCTTAGTTTCATTTTAAGGATAAACATTATCTGTGTTGGAGACTCGAGATATGATTGGTCGAAAACAAACCCACATGGTCACCATGTTGTCATTTTAGGTCCCACCTAAACTCTTCAAAAGCATTAACAGTAGGGATACTAATTTTAATTAGGAAAAACCTGAAGCACTGATTTCAAAACTTTGAAGCATAGATTAGTAATAATTTAATCTCTGTAAGTGATAAATTTTTTCACATGCATGATAATAAAAAACGATCATATTTTGGAAAAACTATGATCGAGATCTCTCATCAGAATTTTAACTATTATAAACTTTTATAAATATTAATCACGAATGATGAATCTTCACACTTCTTTTTGGAATCAAAGTATCAAACTATTGTGCCTACCAAAAAAAAAAGTATCAAACTATTGTTTCTTAGGTTATTTCAAAAAATATCTGAAGCTGAGTTTATAAGAAAAAATAAAAAATTCTGAATCTGATATATGTAGTTTAGAGTTAGAGATTGATACATTTTCACTTGTATTTATCGTTTATATGGCAAAACTATGATCGAAATCTTTTTTTTTTTTTTTTTGCTATGATCGAAAGCTCAAAAACTCTATACATAAAAAATATATAAGAATCAAGAAACTTGATACTATCTTTTTTGTTTTGTTTTTGGTTTTAAGATACTATATTTTCTTTAACCAAATTTGTAATGAGTCACTCTAACTCTTGTATTTTACAATAAGTTTCTGCATTTTTGGTCCAAAAAGCTTCTCTACTGAATCAAAGCAAGTAAGTTTAGTATCCTCCTCAGTCCTCAACCTTGAAAACTCGATATATTGATGCATATATTTCTTTTGGAAAGTCTCTTTTTAACAAAATTTATTTGTAAGACTGAACATTATAGCAAAAGAAATTTGTAATAAAGAAATTAATGGTTAGTTCACAAAAAAAAAAAAAAAAAAAAGAAATTAATGGTTCAGGTGTATAGAATTAGAATCTTATGATATTGATGGGGGAAAGCATCTCCTAATTGGCATTCTCAGGAGCTGTTTCTGCTACTCTCACGTGTACGACTGTCACACTCACACATTTGCATATTCCACATTTCAACCATATAATATAAACTATTCTCTCCGTCCAACAAAGATAGATTTTTTAGAAATTTCACATTCTTTAAAAAATAATGTATAATGACAATTTTAACCTTTTAACTTTTTAACACATTTTAAATAGTATATTTTTATTGTTGTTTAATAAGAGTAAAATAGGTAAACTGTTTTAAATTTGACATTGGAAACATAAAACTTCTATCTTTGTGGGACAAATTTTTTTTCTAAAAAGTTCATCTCTGTGGGACGGAGTGAGTATTTACTAACATAAATTATATATATAATTAGTTGTTGATATTAATTGGAATTCAATGACCATTAAATGAAACTTTAAAAGCAGACATAAATCAATTTCTAGTTTGGTTTACTTGGAATAGATGGTAATCAAAATTTGGTCTATATGTTGTGAATGTCCTATTGAAAACGGTAAATTAAACTTAGATCATTTAATTCAATATATAATGTATACTGTACATTAAGTAAAGTAATTTAATTAAGTACAGGTAAATTGACTTCTAATTAACGAGTTTGCTCATTCTCTGATATGTATAACTTGCCCTTTTTGGAAACTTGCAATAGATCTAAATATGTTGATAGAGAATATAATGTCCGCAACTCCTAGTTTATGTCTGACATGTGTCAACAATTTTTGTAATTTATTTTAATTAAAGAAAACTATCATCAATTTTTAATATATATATTCTCTAAATTCTATCTACCTTTTTACTTTCTTTTTTTTTTCACCAAAAAAATAGATTTTATAGATAAACATGGAATACAAAAGCCGGCAAGGGACAAACCTTTCCAGAGTCTAAGCCGGCGAGTACATGAAGATTCCCAGAGACAAAGATCAAACTAAAGAGAAACCTTAGGCAGTGCCATGCTAAGGCTAATTGTAGCTTAGGGCGAATAAAAAACATGGCTTTTATTACTAAAAAAAAATCAAAATAACAAAAATATATATTGTTTCAAAGCATACACAGTAGTGATAAGATGAAAGAAAAGAAAATTTCTAAACCACTATTTTTCTATCCTTTTTTTCCTAAAAAATCATTCATTAAACTCAACTAATTTTGTTTTTAATTAAATTTTTTATTTTTAAGTGGTTGATTGATAATTATTTGAAGAAGGAATACTCAAAATCAATTTCCTTTTTTCTTTCAAATTATCCTTTTCTTTTAAATATGCAGATGATTCCAAAACAAATTTTTTTTATTCTTAGTTATCTTTTATTAAAATTATCTTCCATTAGTGCTATATTTATAAACTAAAATCCAAAGCATGTGCAAAAATTTCCTAATACATAACGTATACATATTGATATTATTCTAATGTCATGGGCTTCTCAAACAAATACCCACTATACAACTTAATTACATAAGCCTTAAAAAAAATTCAAAAAAATTTTGTGGCTTTGGGCAAATGCCCTTTTCTCTTCCCATTAAGCACGGTACTGACCTTAGGGAAAAAACCCGAACAACTAAATACATAACATCCGAACAAAAACTTCCCGGATTCATAATCCAAAGACTCAAATTAAACTTACAAAGCCTAAATCAAAAATAAAATAACAGATCTGAGACTAGAAGACTCTCCTTACCACAACCTAAACTCGATGGAATGAGAGTCACTTGTAGGAATGAAGGAGATCGAGATCTTCAAGGTGGAATTTCAAAGTCTGAGGCGAAGAAGGATCGGATCGAACCTGCGCCTTTGCCATGGATGGATCGGCCAGATCTGAGGCTGAGCTTGGAGGAGAACAAAAGACAAGCCGCGAGAACCCAAAGGAAGAAGATTTATACTTTATAAATTTAGATCTGAAATTCTAGATGTGAAATCGTTGGAAGAAAAGAAGCTTGGATGCGCCGGTAGAAAAAGGGAAACGAAACTAAAGCATGGAACAAAGAAAAACCCCGGTTCCGGTGCTGAAAAAGCCACCGGAACTGGTAACCCTAGATGGAGGGCGGCGGCTGCGAAAGTTTTTAGAGAGAAGGCGGAGAGATTTTTTAAGAGAGAGAGAGCGTGTGTGCCATCTACCTTTTTACTTAGCTAAGCTTTTTCCCGTTATTACATGTTTTGGTTTGGGTAAAAATGGAGATATCAAATAAGTTTTTAGTTTCAGTTTTGATTCAAGTGTTTTTTTTTTAATGAATTTCTTTGTTATCAATATATATACTAATTAATCAAATAGATATATATATTTTTTTACGCAATATACTAATTAGCTACGTCAATTTGCTTAACATGTAAGTACTTTATAATTAAGGACTTTCTTCTGTCTCATGTGTTCTATGAAGTATGAACTATACATATCTTTAGGTTATAAAATTGGTACGATTACTAAATAGCCCTCAAGTTGTATCGACCAACACGACTCAAATAGATAAAATCCTTAGTATATTCCTCGAATAGATTGTTGACTCTTGCTTCCTTCTTAATTTTTTCTTTTCCTTTTCTCTATCTCTTCTCTTTCTCCTGATTCGTTCTTCTTCATCTTCCTTTGGTCTTGCAAAGATCTAAAAAACCCTAGAACGGGAAAGATCACCAAGATCTAGAGAAAGAACAAAATAGGGTTAAAATTGATGGGGAGAGGGAAGATTGTGATCCAGAAGATCGATGATTCAACGAGTAGGCAAGTCACTTTCTCCAAAAGAAGAAAGGGTCTCATCAAGAAAGCTAAAGAACTCGCTATTCTCTGCGACGCCGAGGTCTGTCTCATCATTTTCTCCAGTACCGACAAGCTCTATGACTTTGCCAGCTCCAGGTTTCTATCTTCCTTTATCAAATCTCTAGATCTTTTAACATCTACATACCTATAGGTATACATGTATCTATGTATATGTATATCTATTAATAAGTGGAAGTATATGTATGTACTTATATATAATATCATGTATGGGTTTTCTTAGAAGGGTTGGATTAACTCAATGATTTGTGTTTAGTTGTGTGAATTACTCATTTATAGTATACATACTTCTGCATCTTGTGTCGATCGATATAACGTTTTATATTTCACTATATATATACAAGGTGGTGTATGTATGTGTAGCTCAGAAAACTTAATATTTTCAAAGGAAACTTAGTTTGAGCTTAGGATTCCAAAGAAAAAAATAAAAAGTAATTAGAGACGATGACTAGTTTTAAAGAAGAAGAAAACACTAATTTGAAGTAGGATCATGGTTTATTGTGTGTGTGTGTGTGTGGACATGTGTGTGGACATGTGTGTCATTGGTTGTAAATTGTGTATGTGGACTGACAGTGTGTCTTTGCCAAATTTAGAAACATTTGAGGAGTAGAGGAGATAGTAATAAAAGCTAAAAACAAATAAAACGTTGGAAAACTAAAAGAGTGATAGATGGAGAGTATAAATCTCAATAGTTTGTAAAACAAAAATCCATTTGGAGATGATATGTAAAATGATAATTTATTACTCATGTACATGTATATATGAATATAAATCTCAATATTTTGTGTATATCAAACTACACCAGAACGACTAGATGACTCTGTATTTCTAATCTTATCTGATTGTAAAATTTATCAAAAAAAATTTCATTTATAAGAAAACAAACTCATTATTTACAGGTTTCGGATTTTCCACATGTGAATCATATATTCATATTTATTTTTGAAGATCAAATTTTCTCGTATGTAAAAGAATATGGTATATATATATATATATGGAACTTAAATGATCGTGAATACCATTTATGAATGATAAATGCCTGACCTTTTTAAATTATCATGAATATCATTTTTTTCTTATGTAATAAAATCTTAAACCTTTTTAGATAATTTTAGAGATTGTGAAAATTTATCGAGGAAGTGAAGGATTTTTTTTTTATTAGCAATGGAAATAGAAATATTATTTTCCTACAAGGAAACAAACTGCACTATGAACTATTGGTAAGTTAAAAATCTTGAAATGAACAGTGTGAAATCTACTATTGAACGATTCAATACGACCAAGATGGAGCAGCAACAACTACTCAACCCTGCATCAGAAGTTAAGGTACGTACGTATAACAGAAATCACACATCACATATAAAACAGGAGAAGGCAATTATATATACTAATTAAGATTTTAATTAATCATGTTTGTATTATTTAATTACTTGATTTCGAGAGTTGATGAGTTAGATTGTGTTGCTTATTGTAGTTTTGGCAGAGAGAGGCTGAAACTCTAAGGCAAGAATTGCACTCGCTGCAAGAAAATCATCGGTACGTATTTGCTTACAAACTAAAAAACTGTTAATAATCATGCGTTAATTCAAAACTAGGAAATACTTAGTGAATTAATTGTATCTTATATACTATTGTTGATCTTTTCTCACTTGATTTCTAGCTAAAACTTTTCTCTCTTTAATTATTTTTGCTTAAAACTAATGTTCGGCTAAAATTTTGCGGATTAATTAACATATATATATATATATATATATATATATATTCTTCTTCTTAGAGTTACTTGTTTGTGATAATTAATATTCTTATATACATTTAGACAAAAACAGCCAGTTACATATACAGGTAACAAAATGGATGTTATATATGCTACTAATAAATTACTATTTTCTTAGAAATGCATATATATCTTATCAGCTAGATTGGAGAAAACGGATTAATAGGAACCATGATCGAGAGAGAAAACATGGTGAAAAACTCAATTTCTCATTAATGATCTGATTGTTACAACAATTATAGTCAACAGACTCAACTAAACCAGAAATAACCAAAGAGATTCACCTTAATTAGATGAATAAACCGGACTATACAGAGCCCTTAACCAAGCCTATTATATACAAGTATAGACTATAGTATGGAAACTATATACACTCTAATAGCCTCCCTCAAGATGGCAGTGGGGCAAAGATGTTGCACACTCCCATCTTGCCTGTTAGTGCATGAAACTGAGCAGGATAGATAGGCTTTGTCAAAGCATCAGCTAATTGATCTTCAGTAGCCACATACATGGTTTTAAGAAAACCTGATTCAATCGCCTCCCTCGTCTTGTAACAATCAAGCTCCACATGCTTAGTACGCTCATGGAATACTGAATTGTTTGCAATGTGCAAAGCTGCAGTGTTGTCACAATAGAGATAAGCTGGAGGAGTGAATGGTACCATGAAGTCATCAAGAAGCCGTGATAGCCAAATCATTTCCTTAGTGCCCTGAGACATAGCACGAAATTCTGCTTCTGCTGTGCTCATAGAGACGGTTTCTTGCTTCTTTGATTTCCAAGAAACTAAAGAATCTCCAATAAACATACAGTAAGCAGCAACACAACGTCGAGAATCAGTACATGAACCCCAATCTGAATCTGTATAACCTCGCAAGTCAAAGTTACCATCTGCAGGATAAAAAAGTCCTTGACCTGCAGTACCCTTCAAGTATCTCAGAACCTTATGGGCTGCATTCAAATGTATATCCCTTGGATCATGAGAAAACTGACATAGAGTATTAACTGCATAAGCAATGTCAGGTCTTGTAATCTGCAAATACATCAATTTCCCAACAAGCTTGCGATATTGAGTTGAATCTTTCAGAGGAACACCATCTTCCTTGTTCAGTTTTACACTCGGGTCCAAAGGTATAGATGATGGTTTACTACCAAGAAAACCAGTAGTAGACAATAACTCCAGAATATACTTTCTCTGACAAATGGAGATTCCCTTAGCAGATCTTGCAATTTCTATACCAAGAAAATATTTAGCTGCTCCCAAATCTCTCAACTTGAAATAAGATTTCAACTCATCAGTGAACCTTGCCACAGCATCATCACTATTACTCACTATCATGATGTCATCTACATACACCAAAACTCCAAGAAACACTCCATTAGCATATTTAAGAAACAGAGTATGATCTGCATTAGACTTCTTAAAACCCATTCCCTTCAGAGTATTAGAGAGCTTAATGTACCATTGCCTAGATGCTTGTTTTAGGCCATATATGGACTTATGTAACCTACAAACAGCATTAGGAGGCAAAATTTCTCCACTTAGCTCAGCATAACCTTGAGGAATCTTCATATATATCTCCTCATCCAAGTCTCCATTCAAGAATGCATTAGAAATATCTAGTTGATGAACTGACCACTTCAATTTAGCAGCAAGCAACAACATCATTCTGACAGAAGTCAACTTAGCAACAGGGGAAAAAGTTTCTTCATAATCCAAACCTTCTTCTTGAGTATAGCCCTTAGCTACCAGACGTGACTTAAATCTCTCAATACTTCCATCCGCATTATGTTTGATTGTGAAAACCCACTTACAACCGATAGCCTTTTTATTTGGGGGAAGACTGCATATACTCCAGGTCCGAGTCCTAGTCATAGCACCAATCTCCTCTTTCATCGCATCACACCATGCCTTAAAATCTTTAGCTTCTGAATATCTTTGTGGGATAACAGCATTTGTGATATTATTAACAAAGGCACGAAAAGGCTCAGCTATATATGAATAAGAGATATAATTGTTCATAGGGTATAAGATATTACTAGTAATAGTATAACAATGAAAATCCTGCATGTGTTTTGGGGGTTTCTTTTGGCGTTTAGACTTTGGTTCAGAAGGAACCAGAGCCTGAGAAGATGACACATCTTGAGGTGGATGTGCATCAGGAATTGATGTTTGCTCAAGAGGCAAATCATCGGTTAGGGCAAGCAACTGTAATAGAGGAAAGAAATCTTTGATATCATCCTTGATAGTAGATGATATGAAAGGAAAAATATCCTCATGAAAAATGACATGTCTTGAAATAGAAACAGCATGTGTCTCTATATTTAATAGCTTGTACCCTTTGTAACCTAGAGGATATCCTAGAAACACACATGCTCTAGCCCTAGGTTCAAATTTATGTCTATGCTTAGGAGAAGTAGAACTATAACACAAACATCCAAAAGTCTTTAAAGACTCATAGGTAGGAGGAGTGTTTTTAAGCTTCTCATAAGGAGACTTATTATCTAAAACAGGGGTAGGCAATCTATTTATCAAAAATACTGCTGTTAAAACACAATCTCCCCAGAATTCTAAAGGTATATTGGACTGAAATAACAAGGCTCTAGCAACATTCAAGATGTGCTGATGCTTTCTCTCAACCACGGAATTCTGTTCAGGAGTTTCAGGACATGAATGATATGCAACAATGCCATGTTCAGCAAAAAAATCTTTAAATTTTAATTCATGTGCATTGTCTGATCTAACCGATTTTAATTTGGTCTGATATTGTGTATGAACCATATTAACAAAAGTAGGAAAAACATGTGAAACATCTTATTTGTTCTTTAATAGATAAATCCAAGTGGCTCTACTAAAATCATCAACAATAGTGAGGAAATATTGAAAACCATCTTTAGTAGGAACAGAGAATGGACCCCAAGTATCTATATGAACTAAATCAAATGCAGCATTACACATATTCTGTCTAGATTGAAAGGATAAATGCTTTTGTTTTGATAAATGACCAACATGACAAACATGAGAATGTTCTTTATTTATCTTCTTATCTTTAATATTCAACACATCAGACAACAAATCGATTTTAGAATAAGCAGGATGACCTAATCTCTTATGCCATGTAATAGAATCAACAACAACAGAAGAACAAGTAGAAAATTCAGGACACATAGAATTGGTACCTTTTAAAGACACAGAATGATTATTTTCATTGAAATCCAGAACATAAAGATTCCCAACTTGACTACCTTTACCAATCATCAACTCCTTTGTAAGTTCCTGAACAAAACATGCATCAGATGTAAAACTTACTTTTGATTTTAAAGTCTTTGTAAGAACACTAACACTGATCAAGTTGAATTTGAATTCAGGAATAAAAAGCACATTGTGGAGAGAGATTGCATCAGACAGTTGAATGAATCCTATGCCTACTATCTTAACTGTACAATCATTGGGAAGTTTAACAAAGGTATTTTCTAGGGACCTAAATTCTAAGTAAAGGTCTCTATTGTGTGTAACATGGTGAGTGGCTCCTGAATCTATTACCCAAGCTCTAGGAGACACAGCTGGTTCTCGAGATATAGATGAAACGAGCATGTCATAATAAGCATTAGAGTAAAGTGCCAGAAATGTACCTGAGATCTGTGAGATCATAGGTACAGAGGGTGTTGCAGAAGTCGAAGCAGAAGATGTAGTCGGCAGTGATGTGGAAGATGGAGTGTGAAGCTTGGTACTAAGATAAGAAATCATAGTCTGAATCTGATCAGTCGAGAATTCCTCACAATAATCTGTCTTCTCACTTGGTGAATCATTCACAGGCTGTGTTACTGCAAGATTAGTAGTACCAATGGTCTGTGCCTTCTTCCACTTTGAACCAGGTGGATACCCATGCAGTTTATAACACTTGTCAGCCATATGACCAAGTTTATGACAGTTAGAGCACTTAGGTTTCTGATAAGAACCATGAGCCAGATTGACTTGAGATTGATTAACAGGGGAAGCTTGGATCTGGAATGCAGCAGTAGGATTAGACAAAGCAGAACTCCCAACAAGACGTTGGCTCTCATCTTGATCCAGCATATTATAAATCTCAGTCAAGCCTGGACGTGGCTTCATATTCAGAATTTGACCCCTAATGTGAGCAAAATTATCATTTAATCCCATAAGGAATTGGATAATACGACTAGTCTCAGCCTCCTCCATCAACTCCTTGACATGCTCACAATTACACTTCTTCACAGTGAGAAGTCTAGTATTAGCTAGCTGTTCCCAAAGTGTCTTCTTCTTCGTGTAATAAGTGGATAAATCTAAGTTTCCTTGCTTCAGAGTGTGAATGGATTGTTCAAGCTGATACTTCCTTGGAAGATTGCTCACTCTGAACCTCAAGAATAGATCATTCCACATTTCAACCGCATCCTCATAGTACAAGATGCTATCATAAATCTCCTTACTCACTACATTCAACAACCAAGCTTTAACCATGCTATTGCATCTACTCCATATCTTGAACATTTGATCATTAACATCAGGCCTAGGAAGAGTTCCATCTACAAAGCTCAACTTATTCTTTGCATCTAACTCATTCGCATAGCTATCGACCAATTGTTATAATTCGATCCATCAAGAGTGTGAGAAACAATGCTCAGACCTGGATGATCTGATGAGTGAAGGAAGAACGGACTATGCGCGTTGTCGTATGCTTCAATCGGTGCGGAATTTGACTGATAACGATCGCGATTAGCCGTAATCTTGAGAGGCGGAGTCTCATCGACGTCATCGGCAACTGGAAATGAAGATCCAGCTCGAGTCTTCATCGGTGAATACTCCGATGTTGGAGAATTACTCCGATTCTGCGTTTTCTTCTTCTGTTTCGCCATCGGAAGTGAGATCGAAGCTCAAATGCGTGATTGAAAGTGAAATCGAAGCTTCAGAAGGTGATTCTGATCCGTTCAAGTTCAAATCAACGCATATCTGGAATCGATTCAGTGATTAAACGGTGGAAAACGAAGAAAAACGAAGAAATCAATGAGAAATCGAAGAGAAATCAGAGAAGCACGAGCAAAAAATGCTCTGATACCATAATAGGAACCATGATCGAGAGAGAAAACATGGTGAAAAACTCAATTTCTCATTAATGATCTGATTGTTCTGTTACAACAATTATAGTCAACAGACTCAACTAAACCAGAAATAACCAAAGAGATTCACCTTAATTAGATGAATAAACCGGACTATACAGAGCCCTTAACCAAGCCTATTATATACAAGTATAGACTATAGTATGGAAACTATATACACTCTAATACGGATCATTAATCTTCGTAAGACTGCACCATTGAGATTACACCTTTGCAATTGAGATATCTTATTGGATAGATTGGAGAAAATGCTTTTTCTGTCGGCATGGGTCACTTATGGGATTAGTCGGGTGGATTAAACTGGTTGTACTTGACCATGTTTGTTCTATGTATATATATTAACTGCAGTAATCTTATGTAATAAAGCAGGCACCTAACGGGAGAGCAATTAAATGGTTTGAGCGTTAAGGAGTTACGCAATCTCGAGAGCCAACTTGAAATGAGTTTACGTGGAATTCGTATGAAAAGAGTAATATTGATACATATATGAATACTCTAATCTAGCTCGTTCGTCTTGGAGCATGATGCTTAAAGATTGATTATAGAGCAATGAAATTTAAACTAATAACTTTTTTTTGCACCTTGCAGGAACATATTTTGACCAATGAAATCAAAGAACTAACCAGAAAGGTAAACTATATGATATACACATGATTATGAATAATCAAACTCAAATGTTTTTGTTTGTGTTTACATGATAAAATCAAACACATTAAAATTTATTTTTTCTTTCATAAAAAGAATTCCTTACATATGTGAAATGGAAATGATAATCATGTCTTCTTTCTTCTTCGGTTCGTGATTGCATTTGCAATTTACGAAAAATCTGTTCTTTGAGAAAAAATACTAAAGATGTTGTGTATTAACTTTGAATGCACATGTAAATGTAAAACGCATAATCAGTGTTATCAATTCTAATTTTTCAGGCTTTTTTATAAGTGTTTTATCTTTTGCAGAGGAGTCTTCTTCATCATGAAAACCTCGAGATATCGAGAAAAGTGCAAAGGATTCATCAAGAAAATGTCGAACTATACAAGCAGGTAACAAAGAAACACAAACTTTATTACTTCAAGTTCCAGCTAATTAATCCTTTAAACAAAATCTCCTAGTTGAAAGTAGATAAATTATACTCTCTCCGTTTCATAATATAAGGCGTTTTGGATAACGTTTTTTGTTTCACAATATAAGCCGTTTTCGAGTTTCAATACAAATTATATATTATTTTAATATTTTATGATTATTTATATTATGCAGTCTCTTTTATGATTGGTTGAACTTTTAAAAAGTACTATGAAGAGTAGATCTTATTAATCGGCGTGTTTTTACCTAAAACAACTTATATCATGAAGTAGAGAGAGTAAAGAGTAGTTACAAAAGTTGTACTGTGGAATGATCTTGCAGGTTTATGCAACGTCAAACACAAACGGATTGGGACACCATGAGCTAGTGGATGGAGCCAATGAATCCCTTGTAGAGGTTAGGCTGCAGCTAAGCCAGCCTGAGCAGTCCCATTATGAGACTTCTTCAAACAGCTAAGATCACAAAAGATATAACAACTTGTTCGTTCTTGATTATCTCAAAACCCTTTCAAATATACATACATATTATATAGAATTAGAGGGACAACTTGTGTAACGATGTCAATATATGTTTTCATGTAGGAGAAAGCTAAGTGCGGGTGTAATCAAGTCGGATCGGAGAGCAAACCAAAGGTTTGATTTTGTACGATATATATGGTCTCAGTGAAAGCAATGGAACAGCTTCTTAATTATATTCTTTTTAGCTTTCGCATTTGGTTTAAAGTATATAATTAAGATATATATGAAATAAGTAAAGATAATATTATATAACTAAAGTAAAATTGAATTTAATTTGATGACATAGGTCAGTATGATATGAGTTTTTTGTTTGTTTGTCAGCAATTCACATTATACGGATTTGAATATGGGTGGTGACACAACAATAACAACACTAACATAAATCATTAGTCTACATGTCATGGTCGGTTTGATATAGATTAATTTCGATAATCAAATTTATATAATTGTTAAAAAGTTCAAATTTTTTTTGTGTTTCACTTGGTTTTGTTTTTGGGAAATAGAAGTATAAATTGAATTAGCGCTCTATCTTTTTTTTTTAACTCATGTGCAATTAAACCACTAAGGAAAAGCTACACATAACGGATTTAGTTATCATTGTTATTATATGTGTGCTCTAAAGGAAGATTCATCAATATTTTTAGTAAACATAGAAGACATTATTCATCAAGATTTTTAACAAAGGGAGATTCATTTCAGATTGTTGGTTCTTTAGTTTAAGGAAAATTTGCCAAAAAAAAGATATTGTCGTTTCAGGTAAGAACAAAAAAAAAAAAAAAAGAGATGTGTATGAAATTCTAATATATCAAAACGATGGTAAAAAATATCCTACAAATTAACGATGTTACATGACTAAACATATATATGCAAAATGCATCGTTTAACATATCCCTTTCAAAGATATTTTTGGTCGTATTAAAATACAAAAACTAAGTAAAAAGAGTCCGAAGAAATCAATCTAAGAGAAGGAGAAGTAAAAAAGAAACCCTAATTTCCTTATGGTTATGTTCTTCCCTCTACATCGGATGTTCTTAAAGAAGATGTATGTAAATCTCTCACCGGTTGTACATACACATGATTTTATATGGTTCAAATTTTTAGTCTAGAATTTAGTTTTTTTCTAAGTTTCTCGGGTTGAATAATATATTTAGATTTTTTAATTAGTGGTTTGGTTTAGGATTCAAACTTGATTATAAACATAGTCCACTCTATTCTGTTATATACTATTGTCCAATTTTCTGCATACCGTACAAAAATGTTGGTGTATATTAACCATTTACCGCTAATTGAACATTAACCATTTAAAGTTTGATTTGTTGTATAGACAATGAGTTATGCCTCATGATCGGTAATAGTCACAACTTAAAACTAAGGGAGAAATATAATGTACAAACAATGAGCAAACCAAAGACTTGAATTCAAAGATTAAAGATTGGTTGTAATAGTATTTCTTTTTCTTCTTTTTCGGTTGTAATAGTATATATATGTACGAAGAACCAAAAAATTGCTCCATCTTTAATTGATAGTGACATTTGAATAGAATGATAAAGATTGGACACTAACTAACTACGCAATCAACAAAAACAATATAACATCAAATATCAGAAATTACAACTTAGCCCCTTTATTTTGTCTTTCTCTCATAAAACACCCACCCGTTTCTTCTTCTAATCTGTACTTCTTTCTTTATCTTCTTCATCAATCACACATATCATCTAAAAGAAAACATCCTACGAGTAAAAAAGGACGATAAAATTCAGAAGAATCTTTCTCTCTGAGAAACCCAAAAAAGGAAGGTGACCCTCGTTCTCTAATCGATTGCTCAATCATTTTTCACAGTTGGATTGAATCGAAAAAAAGGGTTAACTAAAAAAAAGCTGAAGAATTTGAAATCTCTGAGTTTTGGGGGTTTAATAATGGCGAAAGCAGGAGGGATCACGAACGCAGTGAACGTAGGAATCGCTGTTCAAGCTGATTGGGAGAATCGAGAATTCATTTCACATATTTCTCTTAATGTTCGTCGTCTCTTCGAATTCCTTGTCCAATTTGGTAAAACCTCACTCTCTCTCTCTCTCTCTCTCTCGCTGATTTCTCTGTTTTGGGTTTCGAATTCTTCGTCCAATTTGGGAGTTTTTGACTTTTTTCGATTTGGTCTATCCTAAAATTAGAAACTTTTTTTTAGGGTTTTGTCAAAGAAAGGTTTTTGATGATTTGGAGATTTGATTTTGGTGGTGGGTTAGTTGAAAAGTTTCAGCTTTTTATTTTGAGATTATCAGATTTGATACAATTTCGTTTTGGGCGTTATCTTCTTGTGATCCTTTGACTTTTATGCTCTTAGATCCATGGGCTGAGAGAGAGTAAGAGGTCTTTGTAATGATCTCTTTGATCTTCTCAATGTGTTTATGAAACTTTCTTTTTTTGAGCTGAATTGAGTATCGAAGTCATTAATGTCTGTGAGTTGATGTAATTTATCTGTGTGTTTCAGAATCGACCACAAAGAGCAAGTTGGCGTCTTTGAATGAGAAGTTAGATCTGTTGGAACGTCGCTTGGAGATGCTGGAAGTGCAAGTGAGTACCGCGACAGCAAATCCGTCTTTGTTCGCTACGTAAAACACGCATAGCCGATATCCAAATTCGAAACCGAGTCTGAGCGGTTGGCTTAATCGGAAGAAGCGTCTTTTGTTGAATGTGTACCATTGAATGATTCTTTCTTTCTTCCCCATAGCTGTAGTAAGTAAACTGGTAGCTTAAAATATGAGCCACATTCATAAAATCTGTGTATCTTTTATCAGTCCATTAAGATCTCTTTTGAATGACAAAATCATTTCATTTAACTCTTGGAGTTTTGCTTCCTTCTGCTGTTGATTTATAGGCTTTGTGAGTGAGGTACCCTTTTCATCTTCTATGGATCAGATTAGTATATTCGTCTTTTCTCTTAAAGTGGAGCACATGTAAACCCCTCTTGTTGCCCTTTTTTTACTTTTTCATGGATGGAGGAAGAAGGAACCCAAAAAGCCAAGTATCAATCTCTTTTGCTCCATTAGATTCTGTTTGCATTTGTGACCCGCATTGTTTCTTGTGTTAAACTCTGATTCATCGAGACCGACCCTATCGACTCCACCCCGTACGCACCTTGAGATCACCCCGGGGAATGCCTTCGGTATCAAGGGGTTGCAGACCAAGCCATTGTTGTTGACAATTATGCTGTTTTCCGGTACCTAAACCACAAAGTTCTGTAGACTATGGATCATTGACCATTTTTTAAAACATATTCTGAACTCAGTTATTGTTTTGCCTGAAATGAATTTGCTGTGTCTGAACAATAGCTGGAGAAGACAATGAATAGATCAAAACCAATCTTGAAGCTGCAAACAAGTCTGTCAAAGACTGGCTACCTACCTATGGTCTAAAGGATCCTCTGATTCATGTAGAGGGTCTTCTTCTCAGGGACAAAGATCGGTTTAGATCGGTACAAATAAAATTTTCTAAATTGGATTCTGAAGGTGAAAGACTGTTGATCACCAAGCACATTTGAGACTATGAAATTAAAAAAAAAATTCCAATAATGATGAAAACCGGTATGGTTAAAGCCGGTTTAGTACATTGGATTCGATTATCAGATGCGTATATTACACGTTAAAAGTAGTAGTTGGTTTATTCGGCCTTTCTCCAATTAGTTTATTTTAGACTCAGCTTTTCATTATTGTTGGCGTTTTAGTTTTATCCTTTTTCGCAAACGTTAAAAGTAGAAAATATATTTGGCGACAAAAAAATAAAATAAAGTACAAAATATATTTAAAAACGGATATATGATTGAGGGGCATTTTTGTCATTTAACATCTCCCTTCTGATCGTTGATTTCGAAGTCGCTGCTATAAGTAGCATCCTTGAAAAGTGTTGTCATCTTGTTCAAAAAAAAAAAAAGAAAAAAAAAAAAAAAAAGTGTTGTCATCTCTCTAAGCAAGCTTTTCTTTCAGTGATCGGATAAAATTCACGGCGAAGAAGTGAAGTTTCCGGCGATCGGAGGTGAGTTCTCCGTTAGATCGTTATTCTACTTGCCGTTTGTGTGAATTCGTTGATTAATTTTGATCTGAACAGAAAAAATCGGGTTTGATTTTTCTCGTGCACACGATCTTCCAAAATTCATATGTTTTGTGCAATTGATTTGATAGGGATCATATTTTAGGTTTCAAATTAGGTCAAAATCTGATCGTAATCACAGATTGATTTGCTTAGTTGTTTACAAAGTGATAAGGTTTTTGATCGTTTTGGATGGTGAAATTGAAGGTCATGGATAAGGAGAAAGATCATGAAGTGGAGTGGCTTGAAGCTCAGAAGATAGAGATAAGCGTTGACTTATTAGCTGCAGCCAAACAACAGCTTCTGTTCCTCGCTACTGTTGATAGAAATCGATGGCTCTACGATGGTCCTGCACTCGAAAAAGCTATCTACAGGTTAATATAACTAGATTCTTTGTTTGCTTTTATATAAGTGAATCTTTTGCACAGCTTGATGAGTTGATTTTGGTGATCTCAGGTACAATGCTTGTTGGCTTCCTTTGCTTGCCAAATACTCTGAGTCATCATCTGTTAGTGAAAGGTCTTTGGTCCCTCCTCTTGATTCTGAATGGATTTGGCATTGCCACAGGCTTAATCCGGTAAGTTAAAAACGGAATTATCGATAGGAAAAACTTTGACTTTGTTGTTAGATGTTTTGAGTGATTTCTTCATGATGTTTAAATCCAGGTGAGGTATAAGTCTGACTGTGAGCAATTTTACGGGAGAGTTCTCGACAATTCTGGAGTTTTATCTTCTGTTAATGGGAACTGCAAATTGAAAACTGAAGATTTGTGGAAAAGATTGTATCCTGAGGAACCTTATGAGCTAGACTTGAATAAGGTAGACTCGGAGGACATCTCTAAGAAATCTTCAGCTCTTGAGAAATGCACCAATTATGATCTAGTTTCAGCTGTTAAGAGGCAGAGTCCATTTTACTACCAGGTAACTTCAGAATGATTTTTCATTGAATCATCATAACGGCAAATACGGATTTTTCGTCCTGATTCTATTTCTGTGTGTTCGTTGCTACAGGTTTCGAGATCCCATGTAAACAATGAAGTTTTTCTACAAGAAGCTGTTGCTAGATATAAGGGGTTTCTCTATCTGATTAAGACGAACAGAGAAAGGTCTTTAAAACGGTTTTGTGTTCCGACTTATGATGTTGACCTTATCTGGCACACACATCAGCTGCATCCAGTTTCTTACTGTGATGATATGGAGAAGCTCATTGGTAAGGTGTTGGAGCATGATGACACAGATTCTGACCGAGGCAAAGGTAAGAAACTCGATACCGGTTTTTCTAAGACTACTGCACAATGGGAGGGGATGTTTGGTACAAGGTACTGGAAAGCCGGTGCAATGCATAGAGGCAAGACACCTGCACCTGTCACAACTTCTCCTGATGCTTCTGATGTTTTGGTCAAAGTACCAACTGCAAAAGAGGATATCCAGAATTTAATCCAATTTCCAGAGGTGGAAGTTGTTGAGGTAATTCTTTTTGTCCTTTCTCCGTGGTTGTCTCTTCCATATTGAGGTAATTACAGTTATGTGATCCTTTTGTATCCTTCAGGTTCTCTTGGAGATTATCGGGATTAGAAACTTACCGGATGGACATAAGGGAAAGATCTCGGTTATGTTCAGTAAAACTCGGCCTGATTCTCTTTTCAATGCTGAACGTAGACTGACCATTTTATCCGAGGTTGGGGAAAAGCAAGTAGCTACTTTCCAGTGTGAACCTACAGGAGAGCTTGTTTTCAAACTTATTTCCTCTTCACCGTCTAAGATACCAGTTTCAAGAGAGCCTAAAAACTTGGGTTTTGCTTCTTTATCACTAAAGGAGTTTCTATTTCCAGTTATTACTCAACTCTCTGTTGAGAAGTGGTTGGAGTTAACACCCAGTAAAGGTAGCAAAGCAGATCAAAAACCTATAAGCCTGCGAGTCGCTGTCTCGTTTACTCCACCAATACGCAGTCCATCAGTCTTACACATGGTTCAATCAAGACCATTGTGGAAAGGCTCTTGCTTCTTTCCAATTATGGGAAAGTCCCGTCTTGCTAAGAGTTCAACACACATTGTTGATGAAACCCAAACAGAGGTGATCACACTTCAAATTAGGTATGACAATCTAAACAAAATTCTCTCTCGATATATAAACGCATTCATTGATTCTGTTCTGATAAAACTCAAACCAGTTATATACATGATTTTACATTCTTGCTTTGTCGTGTTTTAGGAACTCCATTGATGGAGCAAAACTTAAAGATGATCAAAGACAAGTTATTGGTGTGATAGACTCTGGTGAAACTCGAGTGCTTGCGGATTATGCTGGTAGTTTCTGGTCTTTATTGGACTCGAAATGGTCACTTAAGCAAACAAATGCCTCTACTGCAGATAATCCTCTCTTTGAGCTTTTGGGTCCTCGAGTGGTATATTCCACCATTTCACTCCATTAAAAAGAGATTAATCTTCTTGTTTTTGACAACGTAATGCACTTCAATGATGCAATGCTTTTTATTAATTTGCAGGTGAACATTTTCTCGGGGAGGAAGCTGGATTATGAACCAAAACACTGCGCAAACCTTAGAAGTGATCAAGATTTCATGACGCTTGTGGAATTTTCCAAGCAACATCCATATGGGAAAGCTGTGGGATTGGTTGATATGAGATTTGGTTCCATTGAGGCAAGTGTGAAAGCTTGATTTAACCTAGAATGTTACTTCTTATCTTCACCATGCTCATTTTGACTCTGTTATTCGATATGTAGGTGAAAGAGAATTGGTTGGTTTTGCCCGGAATCGTATCTGCTTTCATACTCCATACTGTTCTGAAGAAAGGAGTTTTTGATGGCTTCAATGTCACAACCAAAGAAATAAAAGAGGAAAGCAAACCGACTAAACTTGTTGCTGCGACAGAAAATAAATTGAATGCATACTCTACGAATGTGGAGACTGCAGCTGCTATCACAGCTCCTAAAAAAGGCAGCGGTTGCGGTGGTGGCTGTAGTGGTGAATGCGGAAACATGGTAAAAGCAGCTAATGCTAGCGGTTGTGGGAGTAGTTGTAGTGGAGAATGCGGAGACATGGTGAAATCAGATGCAACTGCTAGTGGCTGTGGTAGTGGCTGTAGCGGTGAATGTGGAAATATGGTGAAAGCAGAAAACGCTAGCGGTTGCGGCAGTGGTTGCAGTGGAGAATGCGGAGACATGGTGAAAGCAGCGAAAGCTAGCGGTTGCGGCAGTGGTTGTGGTGGTGGTTGTGGCGGTGGATGCGGAGACATGGTGAAAGCAGCCAAAGCTAGTGGTTGCGGCGGTGGTTGTGGCGGTGGATGCGGAGACATGGTGAAAGCAGCAAATGCTAGCGGCTGCGGCGGTGGTTGTAATGGTGAATGCGGAAACATGGTGAAAGCAGCCTAATCTGGTAGTTGTGGTGGTGACCTAGTAGAGAACGCAGAAATGTGGTGAACAGTGACGGTGCAATGGAGGCGGTTGCGGTGGCATGAGTTTGCTTGACTAGTGAAAGTGGTAAAGCAAACGCCCTAAAGACGCTTTTTGTGGCTTAATAGCAAAACTGTAAATTACAAATAAAGTTTGTACTTGTTGTTTGTTTATGCAATGAATGGTTTGTTTATGTAAACTTGAGTTGTCAAGTACCAAACTTGAGATTCTCTTATAAGCTACAATTATCATGAAAACAGAAACAAAGAAGAAACATAGAGAGTTCACATTAATCAAAAGACAAGCTTGTGTCATCGTCACCAACGACTAGAAGGATCAGAGAACCACAACTTGGCATGAGGTAGAGACTCTTGGAATGGCAAGGAGTTCCTTAAGAATGACAGATTCTTCCTTCTTTATGGAATCATCCAAGCATAGGGTTAGTTTCTTAAGGATTGTTGATTTCTCAAGAAAGTAACTCACTAGTTTCATCTCCATCACCTCCCCTTTCAATTTCAATGGCCTCTTTATCTCAACATACTCAAGTGATGGTAGGAAACCTCGAGGTCCGGGAAAAACATTAAATCCTTTCCTCAGTTTTTTAGTAGATCCCTGCAAGTACATTCGAGTGAAGGAAACAAGTTAAGTTCACCATTTGCATTATAAACAAAGGTCAGTAAAAAATCCTAACCAAGACGCAGGATTTTAGATTTGGGCAGCTCTCAAGAAAGGTTGGCAACATTTCCCACCTGTAGTCGTAGAACAGAACACGCAAGAAAGATAGGTTACAGAATAAGGGTAATGGTTCACATCTTGAGTAATCATAGATGACCTGCAAGAAAGCAAAAAAAAAACTTAATAGGATAAAGTGAAGCATTTCAAATATCGATTTCAAACATAGATTACCTCAAGAGTACGTGAAGTGATGGTCATATTTTTGACGCGAGAGATCCCAACGAAAAACTTACGAATCATATTTCTCTTTGGTAGATCACTCGGGTCAAATCTCGACCTCCTACGGATAAACAAGTTAAACCCAACATCGATATCTACCGTAACAAGGGAACCATGATTTTTCAATATGAAACTTGCAGTTCGATGATCACTGAGCCTCAGATGCTCAAGCTTGGGAGCATCAATTTCAACTATTAGATCATTGTCAACCAAACCTGTGCACACGTCATGAGTGAAGCTCAACAGAGACTGAGAACACACTCGTAGAACTGGTACACGATGACATATATATGTCCTCAAAACCAATTATGTTTCGAGAGAAACACAACCGGAGATAAGTGTCTCTAAATCCGAATTGTCGACAAACTTAACTAAAGCTAGTATGATACTTCTCAGAAGAGGTAAAGAAACAAACTTGAGACTAGGCCCGGTCCTTGGATATTAGGGGCCTAAAGCATACTTCAATAGTAAATTCCCAAGACACTACTTTAGAGACTACATAACCACTAGACTAAAGAAGTTTCTTAATAATATGGGTCTAAAATCTTTGTTATATTTTGTGGCCTAAAGCAGATGCTTTGGCTGCTTTATGGGTGAGCCGGTACCATACAGAGCTTTAAGGATACCAATTTCTCACAAGTGTAAATAGCTTGTGGTACATGAAACGCGCCACGCCTCGATGAACAGTCGGTAAAATCTACAATTTTAACATTGAGGTTAAAGACAGTGTTGAAACAACGGATGAGAAGATGAAAATCACGCTCACGTTTCTCATCACCATATCTTAACTTGAAACTTTCCAAGCAGAAGTCAGTATTAAAAGCCAGGAATCTATCGACAAAGATCACGAATATGGAGTAGTTTTCTTTGAAATGATGAGAACTAGCCAAATCCAATCAAGGTACGCATTTACAGAGATGTCTCCAACTAGAAGATAAAAGGCTAGTCTTCACCACAACCTTAGTGGGAAGATTCAAGAGTATCTTACATAGTAATGATTCTGGCAAATTGCTTATCCTATCAACTTTATCAACCAATCGTCGTTTTGCTCCAGCTTTGTCCATGAAATTTTGCCGACGCAAAATGTAGAGTCGAAGAATAATGGAAACGAAAAATCAAAACGAGGGCTTCTCAAGAGTAAAACCCGGTTTATTTCGATTCGGTTATCCGTCTTTAGAAACCCAAAACGTCATCGTTGCATGATTTTTGCATGCAATTGTTGATCACGTAATTGGGCTAATAATGGGCTAATGGGATTTTTTAGACGTCAAAATTTCTTCCGTGTCTTTTTAAGCAATATTGTAAGCCCCAAGTTTTGCTATACAAAAGAAAACAAGTCATTTGATACGAAATGTTATTATTAGTTTTTTTTTTTTTTTTATACTTGGAGGTTCTGGATCAAAGCCCGTAATCCCCACAGGCCCGAAACCACATTATGTAATATTAGTTTCGTCCCAAGCGTTTATTATTATTTTTATTAGTCTTTTGCATTGCTAAAACTCAATTCATATATGTTGCTTTTTCATGAACAACAAATGCTAACTTCTTATTGGTGAAATGGCTTTATATGATGCAAATACTATTTGAGTTTTTGTTTCTTAAACCATTGCACTTATGTTTCTTTGATCAAATGGTGAAAGTATCATATGTTGAACTTGTGTTTCTTACAAGCAGGGATCTACTACATGTCTGGAGAGTATGGGAATTAATATTGTGTCCGGACCTAAGCACATGCTTGACCATGAACTAATGCAAATGAAGCTGGTGCTTTAGGCACCAAAAGTATATCATTATTTTTAAGGCATCATTTACAGAAAAATACATGTAGTGTAGTGGCAGTGTTTGATTTTCAGTAAGCAACATGTCTTAAGATGGAGCTTTCATATATTGATGGTTTTTTTTTGTGATTTTTTACATTTGTGTTAATTAGACTAAAAAAAAATCTGCTTTAAACAAGTAAATACTTTGGGCCGGCCCTGTCTAAACATTTTATATCATCTCGAGTATGTTGATGAGATAGATAGGCAATTGAAAGGAGGCACACTGAAGATGAAACTACAGAACCGTTCCTAACAAAATAAAAGCCATAAGCCCAAAAAAATATATGGGCCTCTAATAGTGTGTTTACAAATAAGAAAAAGATTTGTAATAAGGGTACTCGAACTCTGCCCTCATCTACCCTAAAATGAGACATAAGCACTACACTAACGAGAATTTTTGGTAAGTAAGAGGCCGGAAAACTATATAATATTTTCGAAGGCCGCAAGCCCATGCTTAGCTTGCTTGGCCTCATGGCCAGCTCTGGAAACTAGTGAGTTACTTACTTGAGAATTCAACAATCCTCAAGAAACTGATCTTATGCTTATAAATGATTACGGTAAAAAAGAAGAATATGTCATCATAAAAGAACCCATTACCATTCCAAGAATCTCTAACAGATGCCAAGATCCAATAAATCAATTTATGAATTATGTTAGATGACAAAGAATTAATTGATTCACGCGTCTCTCTTGCTCTTGCATATTTCTTTGAGTTTGTCGTAGATTCTAGACAAATCGTTTATTTTTCGTCCAAACAATTTTATTAAATTAATCAATCACACATTTTGTTTTGGATTTTAATTGGTAAATATTGTTAGAAGTACCGGTTTTTGAACCTACACATTTCATTTCACGATACAATACAACCTAAAAATCAGATTTCAACCTCATGCAAGTGCTTATATGGTACTCAACACGTGTCCTGGATACATAGGATACTCACACGTGATGATCGCACACAGGATCTTTGACTTATTTTTCCTTTATCCAGTAGACACATGCTCATTAGAGAGAGACGTTTTACATGTGGACACTTGTCGGTTATTTGTTCGTCTTGATTAAGCAAATTACTTAATCCTACGGCTATGGCTTAACTTTGTTGTTAATTTGTCATTAATTTAATTACTAAATCAAAGATGAATAACAAAGGTGTGACCGGCATAAGCGGAAGCAGTGGGTCCAATTGTCGTCGCACTGCCCCGCAAAACCTGTGGCTCAAAGCAAAGGTTTTCTCTATTTATTTACTTCTTCCGTTTCGTTTTAGTTATCGTTTAAGGTTTTTACACACAAATTAAGAAAAACATTAAATTTTCTGTTTTACCCTTTATTAATATATTTTATAAAAAATTTCATTGGCCAAAACATTAAAATAGTAGGGATAAAACTGGAATTTTCACCAAACATTTGCATTGAAAACCTAAAACGACAACTATTATAAAACAAAATTTAAATCCTAAAACGACAACTAAATTGAAACGGAAGGAGTAATTACTTTTTTTTTGCTACTCATTACGGATTTATAAGTTTTTAATAATCTCTTCACGAGTATAATGATTCTGTTAGACCATCTCCATTGGTAGTGTCTCACCAAGTTTCTCTCATTAAAATTAAATAAAAAACATTTAAATAATATTATTTCAGTCAATTTTGTTTAGAAACATTTCTCATTTGAGAAACCATGAGTAACTCTCTCTTTCTTTCTTCTACATGTCACTTTCTTATTAGTTTAGTTTTCTTTGTAACAAATCAAATAATTTGTAGTTTATAACATTAACTAAATACTTTATATGTTTGTTATTTTTTAATTTAACTTTTTTTAAAAATTATAAAATAAAATTATCTATATTACAAGCTCCATTATGTATAACTTTAAATTATATAATAATATTATTTTAAATTGGTGTTAGTTAAACTTAATACATAATATTAAATTCATATTGCTTTAATTAATAAAATAGTATTATATTATAAAATCAAATTTAAAAATTAAAATTTATATTTTCCAATAATTTTTAAATTAATATATAATTGTGATTTCAGATATATGTATTTAAAATTTAATCTCATGAAATAATGCAAAACTATCTTCAAGCTTACATAAGCATTTCTGTAAATTTCCAATCTCACCTACTAATTTGGGCAACATTCTCGGCAATCGAATTCGAGTTCGTGATAGAGATATACACCAACAACTAAAATCCGACTTAGTTGAGCATATATGGCAAAAGTTTGGCGCATCATCAAGTGAAGAGTAAAACTTGTATTATCTATTTTGGTTTTGTATGTTTTTATTTGCATTTTAATTTATGTTATCATGGTTTTCTATGTAATTTTATGTTTAATTTAGAGTAATTACACTGCATACCCTAAGACCGAGAAGTATTTAAGTCAAAGGATCAGTGGCAAACTTGTAAATAAGTGATCC